GGGAGGGCCTTGAACTTCCCACAGGGCAGGGTTCCCTACCCTCTCTTAAGGAGGGAGGGGGAGTGGGGGAGCGGGAGAGGGATGGGAGGAGGGGAGGAAGTGTAAATTTTTGAATGGAAAAAAATGATATGGGGAACATTTCAATGCAATAGTTTAATTTATTGAAGAGTCTTTGAAGGGTGAACTCATCTAGTGATAGAAATTCCTGCTTTCCGTTGCCATCAACCTGCGAAGTTTCTAAGGTTAGTCATAAATTTACTAAACAATGATCACCAAAGAAGATTGTCCACAAGGCAAACTATAGGCTAGCCCTTTTCACATGTCCTGGTCTAGTCCCTTGATTTACTAGACATCTGATCTGCTAGCTCATGACACACTGTGCCTGGTGAACATCCTTTTTAAAAACAAACAAAACAGAGGAAACTCTGCTCTGAAAACCACTCTGTGTCTGAGGAACAAGATATCTGGGGCAGACAGTGGCTCTACACAAGGAGTTAGGCTGCTTGGTTCAGGCCATGACTAGCATCTAAGTGTCCATTGGTTCCATTGTATGATGATCTTGTCTCACATCATGAAAGAATGCAGAGTACCAACCCATAAGCAGAGCTGAACCGAAGGCAGAGGGTGGGTGATAGTAACAACTGTGAATATTATTGATTTATGTATTTATTTGCTGATAATGTGCCTGGAGCTCCTGACATAGGGCTGACTTATTTAATCATAATTTCTAGAATATAGATACCATTATACTCATTTTCTAGGGAAGGAGCTGGGGATTAGGGACACTGTTTTCTTGAGGTCACATAACTTCTGAATAGTAGTCACAGGGCATTCAAAGCCCAAGTGTTGCTTGCACCCTGTGCATTTTGCTGCCTTTGCTGGTCGTTTATAAGACTATGAAGATACTGGAAGGGCACTTTTGAGGTCACCAGAAAGTTCTACCTGTGAGACTGTGGAAATATTGAGAGGGCCAACTTTAACTCCAAAAAAGCTGATCTCATGGATGGTTTGGACTAGACTTGAAGGAGAACGCTATATTAGCATTTAAGTAATGACTGTCAATTCATTGAGCAAGCTTATCATCGCCTTTGTGAATGATGAATTGATAAAGACAGTAAAGACCTATTTCCTTGGCATCAGGCTGAATGAAGGCGATATCTCTTGGCTTCAGTTTTATTTTATTTTTTAAAATAAGAAATTGGGGTTTCTTGGTCTCTAGTTAATTTAGCTTTTTTACTTGAGTTCATACATATACCTGCATATGTATAAACTCTCTTGAAGGTTTGGCCATGAGCTTTAACTTTTAATGGCTAAGTTATCTTTCCAGCCCAAGGGAAAATCATCTTAGAGGCCCAGCATCTCCTCATGAGACATTCACATCGCTGCCAGCATGTAAAATCAGTTTCCAGGTATCTAGTCAGAATGCCTGAACATTTACAGCTTCTGTTAGCTAGACAACTGGCTTCCTGTGGAGAGGCACTGTTTACACACAGTCCTAACCCCATCTCCCCAGGATCTATACTCGGGGCAGTGGTAAACCAAAGCATCTTGTTTGTTTAGAGGGAGCTTCTGCATCCTCAAGTGAAGGGGGGTCAGAAGGATGATCTATCCTGGCTAAAGCTCAGGGACTTCTGGAAATTTCCTGGTGGCTTCTCACAGGACCACTGCAAATAATCTCACAGGTAGGTTGCGAAGAGTCCAGGGAAGAAAGGATGAGTTTGGTTGGGTGTATTCACATGTACGAGCACAAACATTACCACAGAGTCATGGTGTATGCAGAACTGATTGGAGAATGGGACGGCAGGTCAGTTATTGTCTCTGTAATAAAAATGCATAGAGCTAAGAGAAAGGGAGGCAGGTAGGTAGATAGAATAGAATAGAATAGAATAGAATGATCTGACACCAAGAGAAGTCAAAATTATGGCACACCAATTGGAGGCAAATTATGATAGACTTAAAGTTGTTTTTTATGTTATGGAGCATGTATTTCTAAACAAAGTACAGCCCATGACTCAAATATAATCCACTGGCCTCTCTCTAAAAATAGTTCATTTAGACCATCCATCTGTCTGTTTGTCCATCCATTTGCCCATCTACCTATCCATCCACGACCCATCTATCTACCTACCCACCCAATCATTATTTTGGCTATTTTTGTTCTTCCCCGGGGATGGTGAGGAGTCACAACAGACATCACACAATGTCCAAAGCCTGAAATGTTAAAAAACATAAGAAAAAGTTGACAGAGAGGAAAGAATATGTTTTTCCAATTCCTGGAGCCACAGCTTTGAATCCATGGCTACCTTTATAACCCACCTTTCAAAGCCTTGATTTCTTAAGACATACCTGGTGATATATGCTTGTTATTGAAGCACTCAAGAGACAGAGCCTCAAGAATTGCTGTGTGTGTGTGTGTGTGTGTGTGAGAGAGAGAGAGAGAGAGAGAAAGAGAGAGAGAGAGAAAGAGAGAGAGAGAGAGCATCATGCTCCAAAGACAAAAGCACAAAATTTCTCGCCCGTGGAGTGGGAGACTGTATAAAATAAACCAGTTCATTACTTAACTCATCAAGGAGATGAACAGTGAGAGTGAAAACGTACAGTGGGTGCTAAGGGGTCGTATCAAGAGCAAAAGGCAGAGGTTTTTATTTATTTATTTATTTTTAAACAAAACAACAAAACTGAAGACATGAAAATAAGAAATAAAATAACCCCTTCTTGGGAAGTAGGGTTTCTCAGGAGTGGAAAAGGGCAGCGTGTGCAAGTGGTTAAAATGCATTATATGCGCATGTAAAACTGTCAAAGAGTGAAATGAAGTTTTTCCCCTTGGTAGAGGTCAAGAGGAAATAAATAATAATTGTGAAAAACCCATGTATAGTTGTATTTGTGTTAACCAGTATATATTTGAGACAAGTTAAGCTGGGTTATTAAAATAAACTGGACAGAAATCATAGCCACGGTCATCTTGATAAGAAGCTGAAGCCTTTGTGGGTGCGGGG